TCTTATTGCTGACGTCGCCTTATTTGATAACTTTTTGGAAAGTAAACATGTTTTTTGTCTTTATTTTTTGTGTATTCACTGTATTGTATTGAACAAAATGGTTATGCGGCCCGCGCTCGTCATTCTCTGTTATCTTGCCCGCTGTGAAAAAAAATCTGGTGACCCCTGGACTAGAGGGAAGGAAGCAAGTCAGCCCCACACACTGGCAAGATTATTGTGCTACTATAATTGAATAACTGGATTTGACAGCCACTTTTATAACACTTTTTTTTTTTTTTTGCTCTAACGGGACTCGAAAGCTTGATCTCGGATCAAATGTCTGGCACAATAACTCTTAGCCCACGCTCATCCCTATATTTACCATACAATCACGTGGTTTAAAGTGACCATCGAATATTAATGAATAATGGAATGGTAGGCCTCGGCACACCTCAGAATCTTACTTATAGAAGTTAACGTTACTCTACAACATATGTACAGTGTTTTTTGTTTTAATTTCATTTCTGTTATTATTCTTTACGAGTGATTAAAGACACCAGATTACGATTCTTTTAATTTAATCACCAGAATGTTTACAGGAGTTTCGTAGAATGTAAATTAAAACTCATTAAAAAAAAAAAGAGTCATTTAATAACGAAACAAGTTTTACATCATTTTATGAAACACACCAATAACTGAACGATACAGCAACTGAAAACAAAATTATAAACTTTTGACCCCAGTAAAATAAATGCAAGCCTTTACAATATCAAGTGTACGTGCCAGTTCCCCTTCCCCCTCCGATTCGCTAATTCTTCTAGGGGAGATAAGTAAAAACATACATTTAATAAACCGCCGATTTCGTTCCAATTGACCGTAAATATGGCACAATAATTTTAAGGGACCATTTGTAAATACTGACCAAAGCGGAAGAAAACTGGATAAAAAGTTAAATCTTGCCTGAGTGACGTACGTATATACGTAAGATTAATTAATTAATTAGGTTTGAAAACTTTAATGGATTGCAACTGCCTGTAGAAAGAAACGACGACGTTTCGGTCTCTATAGAGACTTCCAGTAACGTCGCAGTCCGTTGAAGTTCTCAATCCCTAATAGTTACTACGGTAATCCTAATAATTACTACCAATATATTACTAATATACATTGACATTATACGGAATGAATCAGAAATAGTTACTCAAACGTTGCTTGTACCACTGGGCATCACGTCAACAATATATTCACGAAGAAACAGTTGCTCAAACGTTGTTTGTACCACTGGGCCTCACGTCAACAATATATTCACGAAGAAACAGGTTGCTCAAACGTTGTTTGTACCACTGGGCCTCACGTCAACAATATATTCACGAAGAAACAGGTTGCTCAAACGTTGTTTGTACCACTGGGCCTCACGTCAACAATATATTCACGAAGAAACAGTTGCTCAGAACCTGATAAAATCCATGTCAGATATGGAAAACATCTGTTTATTTGTATTTTGTTGTTGTTTGGGGGGGGGGGGAGATGCGGTTCAGACGGCCTGTTCTTTATCACCTACAGTATCCTAAAGCCCTAGGATGAAAATGGAATTTTCGAGTGCAACAATCTGCCTTTTGTATAAAGATGTGCTTGGGTATCTCAAATGTGTTATCACCACCCCGACTTACGACCGGCTGAACACGTAAGTTTGTGACAGATCCCCCCCCCCCCCACTATCTGGAACAGTTTAGTTTTATCTACTTATAGCTGGAAAAAATATTGTTTATAAAACAAGTTATATATTTTCCTACATTCTTATGGATAGTACTATTACTTCTATTGGGAAGAAAACAAGATCGGGGGT